TTCTGAGATACAGCCATTGATTGACCTTGATGCTGGTTACATAATGGAGCAACTCAATGATATTTCATGAAGCTGTCACTTACAATGGGTATTCTTTGTGCTTGTTTACTGTAATAAAGTATTTTTAAAAATCAATAATGTACACACTCTGACCTTTCTAAAATTGTAAAACATTACTTCTTGCGTCCAGAGCTATCTCGGTTTAGAAAGAGTATACATATTTTTCTTAATAAATTTGTTAAATTTAATGTCAGTATGTAAAATTCACATAATTTACATTGAATTACACAGTTAAGATCATTGCATGAAAAGCAGCCAAAATCTCAGTCTTGAAGATCTCCATTTAGGGGGCAGATGTTATGGCACAATGTGATAAGACACAGCTTGTAATGCTTATAACCCATAATGTAGGATTGAGTCACACATCTGCATTCAATCCGGTTTCCTAAAACATCTAAGAGGCAGCAGGTAATGGTCCAAGTTCTTGAGTTCCTGCCATGCATGTGGGAGACAAGCATGAAATTCCTGGATTGTGACTTCAGTCTGACCCAGGCCCAGCTATTGCAGGCATTTGGGGAGAGAACCAGTGGATGGAAAAATCTGTTTCTCCCTTTCTCTTCACTGTGTCATTCAAATAGAAAATAAGTAAATTAATTAACCTTTATAAAAGAAAATCTCAAATTAGCTCCTCTTTCAAATTGGAATCTTAAAAATACTGTGTGTGTTTATATGCATTGTTGTTCTTTTGTTTCTTTGGCGGTTGTTTCTTTACTTCAAGCTATGCTTGAACTTTAGAATATTAACGGTTTTGTTGTTCATAATGAGGATTTAGCTGCACTCTACTTGCCACCTGCCTTCTCCACAATCCCCACACGCACACATACACAAAAGGGGAGCTTCAAAAATTTATAGGAAATGTGCATTATTTTGTAAATCCACTCTCCATAAAAGTAAAAATCATAGATTGTCTGTCTAGGAGGCCGAATCTCTGAGTCTTAGAATTGTGACTTAAAAATTATTAAAACAAAGGGAAGACTTTATGTGAACAATTACATAATAATATTTTCCACAATAAAATTCACAGTTCAGCACATGCTCACTTGCACTTACCCCTAATGGTAGAGCTAGAAACATGTTAGGGGATTTCAATTAAATCCCATCTAGGTGGCTTGCACCAATCCCATCTTACTTGTTAAAGTGACCAGTTTAAATTCATAATTGACCAACAGGATAGGTTTAAGTTTCAAAGGGATTACATAAATAAGACCAGTGTTTGCAAATAATAATTGGTAAATTTAAAAAGGGGAGAATGATCCTACATGGGGAGCCGAATACACAGCAGACATAGAATGGCAAATGCCCTAAATAGCAATCTGGACTCAGAATCAGCCCGTAAGGCATTCAGATCTGGCTAAAAAGCCCATGTGAGTTTCGCAGCCATGGAAAACCAAGACACTGTGGCCAAAAAAAAAATAAATAAATAAATAAAAAATGACCTAAATGAAATATCTCTGTGAGTGAGATCCCAGCGGAAAAAATGGGCCATCAAAGAAGGCAGGACCTTTAACTGAAGGGAGGAGAGAACTTCTACTTTAACTATGGCCTTGTCTAAACAAGATCAGAGTTGGTGAACTCAAGAGGCTTCCATAGCCTTGGCAGCTCATGACAAGAGCCTCGGGTGATTACTGACATCATAAATAAGAGTGTCAATTGTTAACTCATCAGTGGGAGTCACTGTACACCTGCTCCCCATGTAAGACCTCTGTCCTTAACGTGTTGTACTATAAGAATTAACAGTAAAAGTACTACCCAAACAGTACTCTATACTTTGTGTGTCTTTGTGAGTGCAGTCTGTTGAAATCTTTACTAAGTATATACTAAGTAGATCTTCTGTATATAAAAATAATTGAAAATAAATCATGATGAGGAATGGGATGGGAGAGGGAGTGAGAGATGGGATGGTTGTGGGTGGGAGGTAGGTTTATGGAGAAGAAAAGATGCTATAATTCAAAAGTTGTACTTTGCATTTCCCTGATATGTAAGTGATCCATGAACATTTCTTCATGTGTCTATTGGCATTTGGAATTTCCTCTTGAAA